ATTATTATTAAACTTTACGTAATCTCGAATATTGTTTTCAACAAACAAATAATAATAATAATAATAATAATAACCTGCAGAGAGAGATGCTAACTCATTCAAATTGTGTCACGGAAAATAAGATAATTACATATATGTATTCGTTAAGATGTTTTTTTTTTATCAAAACATTTAGTTAAACGTAATATTTATTTTTCTCTATAGTTCGTTACAATTACAAAGATAAAAAAAAAAAGAAATAAAACGAAGTTGGATAAGCCAATCTTGTATTCCTCCTTATTTTTTTTCTTTATTTTTATTCTTTTTTACGCCCCTCCTACATATTTTTTCTTATAGTTTTCTATTTAAAAGAAAATATTTAATCGAAATATAATATTATTATCTATTTAAAAAAAAAAATATTAAATCATATTTTCAAATGTGATCTTCGAACACACAGTAAGAAAATTTTTAATTGGTTGGTGCATCACATTGAATAAACGTTGACAACAAATATTTCCAATTGCAAATCTAAATATTGAAAATATTGTAAATTGGGTTTTGTATTTGACCATATTATTTTGTATTGATCATAAAATAGGATCCATTACCTCCCGAGAAATGGTTTGGAATAAGGGATGGTTCCAAATTTGGTAACGTGTGTGCACAAATAGATAGTATGATGAATGAAATGATAGGAAGCGATGATTGTTTGTATTTAAACGTTTATACACCTAAAATTGATTTCAATGCAAAATTGGCAGTAATGGTATGGATCCATGGTGGTGGTTTCTATATGGGATCGGGAAATGATCATTTATATAAGCCAGTTTATATCATTCGAAAGGATGTAATCGTTGTCACGATCAATTATCGATTAGGTCTTTTGGGTGAGTACAAATAAATGTATTTTGAAAATTCATAAACATATTATTGTATTATAATATTGAATTAATCAAAATTGTTTATTCTTTTTTTTTTTCAATAATAATCCTTTTCGATTATATATTATTATTCGAAATGTTAATTGTAATACAAAGGTAAAT